CTTTCTTCTTATTGACATTCCATTTGTTCCAATAACTTCCCCTGTACATTCCTTGGCATTACTGTCTGTTATATCTCATTAATATTGTGTTAAAACACGGAAATACGAGCCCTTAGGGATACACTTCTCTCCCTTATTATATATATATATATATATATATATATATATATATATATATATATATATATATATATATATATATATATATATATATATATATATATATACCACAGTCTTACTGCCAACGAACATGTAGCCATGCGTTTATGTTGATTATAAGTTTGTGTTAAGTCCTGTGCCTTATACCAGATTCCTTTTAAAAATTAATTTTTTATAATATCCGCGGGTTCCGTGGCGGACTTCCTGTGGGGGAAGGCAGCCATATATCAAAGAACGAGCGAGAAAGCCAGCTTCTCTCACCATCGAGCTATTTCCGACATTGACACCCACACTCAATGTCTGGGACAACTTGAGATGGACGTTTTGGTCAAGTGCATGAAACTGTACTTTTGCTACCGTCACCGGCATTGTCGACGTCTACTGACTCCAAAGATTGAAACACCGGATGAGCGCCGGTGAAAAGGCTGCATGCAGTTTGGCGGCCTTCGTCAAGTCACCACGTGTTGTACGAACACCTGCGGAACAGCTCCGACGGGGTGCTAGATGCGCTGAAGCTAGGCGGGCTCGCATACTTGCCAGGCACAAGAAGCGCGTGCTGATGCGCGTGCTGATGGGCGTGCCAGAAACACCGCAGCTCAATGCACATTCGACCACGTGCACTACACTTCGTATGATGTCTACATACCCTAACCTTACATCATATAACAGTCCTGTGTTTCTATAGCATTCATTGCCTCATCCTTGTGCCGAAGCTGTGACATTTTTGTATGAGCGACACTTCTTCCGCAAAACTGGCCCCAGCAGCGAACGACGTGGCCATCTTGCTACCTTGAGCTTCAACGCAAGTACAATACGAATGAAACATCCTGATAACGAGATGAGCGCGTGCGCATCGCGAGGAGCCGTGACTTTTAAAGCACGCGCTCGTGCCCGTTACTCCATTTCAGTAGTAAATACGGATACATGCTGAAGTCGCCGATTTCTGAGTACCACCAAAGGAAGTCTTGTTTATAGATAGCTTGCCGTTAGCACTGTGAACAGCGTGTGGTTTGTGACCGAGTTGATTCACGTTGGGCGTTGACGATCAAACGAGAAGTCACCCCGCGTTCGTCTAGTGGCTAAGGTACTCAGCTGCTGACCCGCCGGTCGCGGGACCGGATCCCAGCTGCGACGGCTGCATTTGCAATAGAGATGAAAGTGCTGCAGGCCCGTGTACTCAGATTCGGGTGCACGTTAAAGAACCCCATGTGGTCTAAATTTCCGGAGCCCTCCACTACGGCTTCTTTGACAATCATATGGTGGTTTTGGAACGTTAAACCTCACATATCAATCAATCAATCAATCAATCAATCAATCAATCAATCAATCAATCAATCAATCAATCAATCAGTCAAATTGAACGAAAGGTCGTTGGTTCTACTCTCAGTGACGGAAGTTTTTTCAGGGCCTAAGCTCCTTTTAGTCTAACCTTGTGACTAGTCACGCGTAACCAAGAAAGAAAAGACGGCAAAAGAAACGGATCGCCATATCTCGTCTCACTTCATAGATGGCGTTACTCTACCACTACTCTCCGAAGTGGCGCTCTTCTCCGATTGGCTACAGCACACGCTTTGTCGATGAGTGCCTCCTTCAGTCTCCTGAATAGTCGCCGTACGGGGCAGATTGTTGGCAGAACATTGACGGTGCAGAGCGGCGGGCACGTGGAAGACACTTGCGCTCGGCTTCCTTGGCTCGCGCCTCCTCGGTGTTACCCGCTCGTCGTCTGCATTCTTGAACGAAATCGAACGCATGCACAAACGGATGGATGTATGAGCGCTTTGCCCCACTCATCATCATTCACTTCGCGCATATGCTCTAATTTTTTACATGTCTTTTGTCGGCCATATCTTAGTGTTAATAATGTATTTATTAGCCGGCACTTAGTGACAATGCCTAATTACAACATCCACGGCCACGCATGACTGAATGGGTCATAGTAGGCCTTCAGAAATTACAGGTTGACAAAATCACGCCCTCTCAGCACGAGCGGCGTCCTTTTTGGAGATTACCTACTAAAAGGCAATAAAGAGGGCAACCCATTTCTATGTTCTAATGGCTTCACTACAATTACACCTGGTACGAAAAGGGAGCTGCCCAGCCATGTAACAGCTTGTCACTATGAGAGGTTCACTGAGGCCTCCAAATGCTCCACGTTGACCATGTCGAGTCCATGACGGTGCATGCCCGAAAATGTTTCGATGGCTTTGATTAGGTAGGTGACCAGAGATGTGCGCTCGATGAGATGGTAGAGGCCTTCGTATTTCAGCTGTAGTGTTGAAGAGAGGCCAGCTACTGAGGTAGGGACAGAGAGATGAGCGCTCTAAGGAAGAGCGTGGGCTCAGAAGTGACGAAGTCATCACGACTACTCTTCTGCCAGTCTTGTTCATTTGACGTAAATGTCTTAGCAAGCTCGCGACACTCTTCAGCAAGCCTGGCTGTGTAAGAAATGGGCACACACTAAGATGGATGGATCTGGCGTGTACGGGAGTGTTGTGTCGATGGTGTGTGACGGGTGCCTTCTGTACAGTAAGAAAATGAGTGAAAAACCAGGAATGCTAATAAGGGCCGTACGTTACGAAGCGTACGTTACGAAGGGCAGTATTGCACCCAAATTCATGTGGTCAGCGGCTATGTACATTGAAAAAATGGCTTGAAGGATTCCATCAAAGAAGTTGGTGAGGCCATTCGTCTGCGGATGACAAGCAGTAGTTCCGCGGTGAACAGAATGACAATCCGTGAAAATGGCTTCAATGACGTTTGGCAGAAAGTCACAGCCTCGCCACTGAGAAGCTTCTGGTATGGACTGTGACGCAGTATGAATTCGTGCAGCATTCCTGCTGCACGAATTCATACTGCATCACATGTGATAGCCGGCGAGATGGTGGAAGTTCCGGCGTATCCCATTAGACGGTCTATGGCGACGATTACTCAGTCGATGTCAGACAAAGTGATCCGCACAAATAAATACCCTTGCGCCCAAACAGACGGTCAAGGAAAGGTTGCAAAATGGCTGGCGACATGTGTGCTGACGGTTTTCGGCGTTGGTGATCGAGGTAGGAGCGAAAGAATTTCTGCACATAGTGATACATCTGTCACCACAAGTAGTGTTGTCGAATGTGGTGGTAAGTTCTGGATGCCCCAGAGTGCACGCATTGTGGCTCACAATGGAAGGACGAATATAGTTTTGACCGCAGACTGCAGGGTATCACAAGTAGCCACTGGCAACCATCGGCATTGTAATTACATCGCCACAAGAGGCTGTCACATATTGAAATAGTGAGATTAACGACACAAGGCTTGAGTGAGTGGTGTTGCGGATACTTGGGACACCGGGACAAGTGGACAGCGCGGGAGGAGGCATTTTCTGAGAAGCGTCTTGGGGCACAATATAGAAGGCAGGGTACAATATCGAAGTTCCACGGGCGCAGCACACTTCAACGATTTGTTAAGGTGTTTATTAGCCATCTCTTAGTGACAATCTGTAATGGGGAGTCATGGCCAGGCATGTAATCTCAGCCCAAGCGATGTCCTTTTCGGAGATGCCCACTAGAAGGCGCTTGAGAGTGCATTCATGACCGAAGTATGCCTTTGTAGTCGTAGGAGGCCCCGGCTTACGAAAAACTTTCGTATGAAAAAGTCGCACATTGGTTGTTTTGTCACTTCCTATGGTTTGCGGTAAGAGAAGACCACACCCAAAACAACGCTAAAATAATACAAGAATGAAGATGGTAATTTCTTCTGTCTCTCATTCTCTCTTTTTCATTTCCATCAATATGATGACTTCCTGATCTTTTCAACTGCATAATGAACTCCTTAAAGCTCATTTTGCTTTGTGCTCCTATAAGTACGTAGAATGGTCAGGAATATCGCGCGAATAGAATAGCAGCGCTTTAACACGTGGATTTTTGATGTGGCAACGCACTGTCTTCCCAAAGGAGAGAGAGGGCGCCGCGCCGCGTCAAGAAAGTCACATGCTAACGCGCTGCAACGGGTGCATGTGGTCGGGCTTTCAGTGCGTCGCATGGACAGACGCTGCAAGCGCGGTGTTCGTAGCATGTACAACCAACACTCGTAGCCGAGCAACTTTATACGCTCGCACAAAGCATTGATTTCAATGATAGAAGAGAGACACTTGAGATACACACTCTAATTTGGTTGGTTCAGTTGGGAAAGCTAGCGCCACGTTTTCGGTAGTGTGTTCAGAAGCAAAGTATTATTAAAAACAGATAGGTGGTCTCAAGCCTGTGCCAAATCCTCGTTTATCCATCCCTAGTAGTACAAAATGTTGACATGACGCTGCCGCAAAATTTTGAAAATTTCTTCAACAGTGTGGCGATGATGCTTGCTACTAGGGATATCGCTTCAACTCTGTAAAAGATTCCTAGCGTAAAAGTTGGTGTTTAGAATAAATATTCGACAATTTACAGTACAATGTACTCTACTGGGGAGCAATGAGCGGCGCGATATTGAAAATGTTTGTTTTACAAAGTATTTAACGATATCTAGTACACCGTACTGACTATGGGAGAGCAGCGAGCCATCCAGTCATTAGATGGTAAAGCCCACATAAATACTGACACTTAAGCTGACAATGTCAGATAATCATAGCGAGGTGTTGAGTTTGTAAATTGCATGTTGCATTCAAAAGCTATCCGAGTGGTACGAGCGGTACGAGATGATTAGTTCACTGCCTTCCGTTTTTCTACTTGTTTCTTTGATGATGGTTAGTAAGAAAGTTGATTTTTTTGACACGACAGAGTTTTCGTACCTAACTGTTAACGTCTATCCTTTGTGAATGAAAATGATTTCTTGTATTGTTTGTATTTATTGCCGCATTGAAGGCCGCAGCAAAAGCCCAGGTTGACTCAGGAGCATCAGCTGCTTCACGGAGCCTTTCTTCTCCACCTCCCAGCATTTCCATCTTTCGAAGGTAAGGACAATTAAGTTCTTAGTATACGTTTGAAACATTGCCTTAGGATGTGTCGAACCCCTCATCATCATCATCAGCAGCCTGACAACGCCCACAGCAAAGGAGAAGACTCTACCATGACCCGCCAATCAACCCAGTCTTGTGCTTTCTGCGGCCATGTCATACTCTGCGAACTCTTTAATCTTATCGGCCCACCTAGCATTTTATCTCCCCTTTGGGTATTTGCCTTCTCTCAGAATCCGGTCAGGTACCCTTAATGACTGGTTGTTATCTTACCTACGTGCTACGTGCGCGGCTCATGTCCATTTCTTTTCAACACCGGTTTGTTCCCTGACATACTGTGACCTCTTCTTGCCTCTTATGGTTACACCTATCACTTTCGTCCCCATTGCTCACTGCATTTTTCCCATTTTAAACTGAACGCTCTTCGTGAGCTTCCAAATTACACTCCGTAAGTGAGCACCTGCAAGGTGCAGCTGTTGTACGTATACTTTTCTTTTGAGGGTAAGTGGCAGATTATCATTTATGATCTGAGTATGCTTGCCAAATTTCACCCACCTCATCCCTATTTTTCTAGTTATTTCACTTTCGCACCTCGGCTCCGCGGTTACTACCTGTCCTGAATAAGCATATTTTTTACAACTCCCATCGTCTCTCCACTTGTCACTTAGTGCTGTTTTCTACCGAGACTGTTGTACATTACTTTAGTTTTGTGCATAATATTTTCAGACCAACTCTGCTGCTTTACGTGCCCAGTTCAGTAATCATGAGCACTCATCCTTGAGTAACTCATCAAGGTAGTATCATCAGTGAATCAAAGGTTACTAAGATACCCTCCATTACTTCTTATCTCTAACTCTTCCCAATCTAGCGCGCTGAAAATCCCCTGTAAACACGCGGTGACTAGCATTGGAGAGATTGTGTCTTCCTGCCTTACGCCTTCATTGATTGAGGTTCTGTCGCTTTTTTATGGAGAACTATAGCAGCTGTGGATTCACAGTGGATATCTTCCGGTATATTTATGTGAGGTTAGTCGATGCCCTGATACAGTAGTGCCTGCATTACTCAAGATTTCTTGGTTGAGGCAAACACCTTCTCTTTTTTTATTGAAATATAAAATAAACGAGTTTTTGTCACCGTTACTTGGCGACGGCTACCCCTTTCCACTTGATTGGTACCAATAAAGAAAAAAACACAATAGCATGTATACATATATACTGTCCTACATCAGTGAGAGCAAAAGGTCTCCTATAAACCGAACAAACACGTAGACGCCACGCTCACTTTCAACTTTTGTCCGCTCTTTAGTCGTCACAAATCTTCGTTTTTTCGAAGAACTGTTGCAGCACCTTCATTGCTTTACCATTTATTTTGGATGACCATGGACCTAGTATTTATTTCAACGCAAGTGACTGCTCAGGATATAACTTATGGAGTTCCTGTTCTAGTCGCCTTCGGTATGTGTCGTGTTTTGGACAGTCGAGCAAGAGGCGACAGATATCCTCGTCATCATGGCCTTTGAACATGCTGACGATGTTGCACGCTGAATACGATGTAGGAAGTGCTTTGTGTAAGCAGTTTCGAGTCGTAGGCGATGTATGAGTGTGTCGATACGTCTTGGGAGATCACGGTCTAATTGGTATTCAAGATTAGGATCAACAGGATATAGAATTGATTTCTTTGTTTTGTCTGTGAACCAGGTTGACAGGCATAATTCACGTTTTGTTGTTCTTAAAGTTCTATTTACATCATATTGAGATTCTGGAATGAGGCACGTTTGCGTAGAATTATGAGCGGTTTTCACCAACTCATCCGCCATTTCATTTTCTTCAATCCCACAGTGACTGGGAACCCACTGAAATGTCACGCAATGATTCGACTTCGTAGCTTCTGAAAACTTTTTCAGTATAGCGTAAACTATACGCAAATAAATGTGTCTTGAAGTGGCGTTTTCCACACATGCGAGTGCTGCCAGAGAGTCTGTAATTGCTACTCATTTTCTTGGTGTCATTGAAAGTTTAATATAGCTCTCAAAATTAATATAAGCTCTCAAAATCGCTATGAGCTCCGACATTGTTGTAAAGGAGAGGTGGCCCAACCGACATGCATATTCTTCGTGCAATTCCGGAATTATAAATGCCGATGTCGTTGTCTCTTTGGTGACAGAACCGTCAGTGCACACGTGAGTGTATCCTTTGTACCTGTCAAACAGATGACGTGATGCCAACTGCTGTGCGGCAACGATTGGCACTTCATGTTTGCTGCGAAGTCCTTCTATTGACGTTTCAATCATTGGCAGCTCAAGCAGCCATGGTGGGTAGTTTTGATCTAGTGGCCAATGTGTCGACACAGGAAGCCGGGGAATGTATTGTTGGTACACATGGTGTATTTGCGCTCCGGCTTGGTTCACGATGTTGGATATGAGCAGATGCGAAGAGTGTTGCGTGACTAGTCGAAAGAGGTGCCGACAGGTCTCAACATTTTTAATTTCTATAAAGTTGGGTTCTCTTGCCTCTGCCAGTGTCAGAGAACTTGATGTTGCCTGTGGAACCCCCATACATATGCATAAGCTTCGTGCTTGTAACAGCTGAAGTTGGTGTAGAGACGTCTGAGAGATGTTGTGGAGAACTGGCGCAAAGTAGGCAATTTTCTGTCGATTGATGCACAATGGACGTGAAGTAGAAACGCTGATGTACCACTCAATTTCGTTCCTGTCATGCGACGTATAACAATTATGGTGCAGTTCACTTGATTTTCTAGATCAGCAATATGCTGACTTCATCTGAGCTGGCTATCTAAGGTAACGCCAGGAAGCGATGCTTTCGGGTGATTTCGATTCTCTGGCCATCCACAACAAGCTTCAAGTTTTTCACTGTCTTTCTCGTGAACGGCAGAACTACCGAATTGGCTCAGAAATCTGAATGCCTTGCTCTTTGAGGTAATAACTTATTGTATTTAGTCCTTTGTTTCAACCGATGTTTGATCATTTCCAGTAATTTGTGGGACGTCCATATGCATATGTCGTCTGAATACATGGATATGTGCAAGGCTTCGTGCAGCACTTCTGAAAGACTTGCCATTGCAGCATTGAAAAGAAGCGGACTTGGAACGCTTCTTTGGGGTACACCTCTGCTGATGTTGAAACGATCGCTGTCTTCGTTATTGGTTGAAATGTATATTTGTCTGTTACGCATGAAGTTGGCGATCCATTGAAGGATACGACCATGAACCCCTAGTGAGGTAAGCCCGTACGGCACAGAAAGGCGGCTCACAGAGTCGAACGCCTTCTTAATATCTATGAACGCCGCAACAGCCATGTTTTCACAGCTCGTCTCATGTTGTACAAATGTAACGAGGTCGAAGACGGAGTCCACAGTGCATCACCGTCGTCTGAAGCCAGCCATCTGTTCGGGAAGAGAGTTGTTAGCTACAATTCAGCACTGTAATCTTCTATCAACCATTTTTTCCATGGCTTTCGATACACAGCTAGTGAGGCTGACTGGTCGTAATTAGTCAAGCGAAAGCGGCGATTTAGCGGGCTTCAGCAGTGGGACGACTCTCGCGACCTTCCAACACAATAGAACGTACTCCTCGGTCCACATGCCGTTATATATCCGTAGAAAAACTGCCATGCCGTTGAGTCCTAGATTATTCAGAACACTGTAGTATACGTTATTGGGACCGGTGACCGTTCTTAAGTGATAGAACAGTACGCAACTCTAGTAGAGAATACGTGTTATCCAGTTGAGCATGTGATAAAGCGTATGTATCTTGGATTTGATGCTCTATACAATTAGGCAGTGCAGTAGTATTGTGAACCAATTGCCCAGTTCCAGTAAGCATTGTGCAAAACTTATTGAAAACATCCCGTTGGGATAATCCAAGAGATATGGTCATTGCTCTGAATTGGTTTCGCTGGGATACTGGATGATTTAAAGCAGTGATTGTTTGCCAGAATTTTCGATAGTGGAGTAAATGAGGTCAGTGAATTGCAGAAATTGGGCCATTGTTTCCGACCTAACTTTTCAATGTGTTGCTTAGATCGGATGTGTGTAGCCTGACTTTCTTGTAATCTTCTAGACTTACAGTACGGTGATAGCGATGTTCTGCTCGTCTTTTATTTGCCCGTAGGCGGTCATAGTCTTCATCTATACTGGAGTGGCCTGCTGGGACAGCTGTAAACCTTGTCGCATGGGAGTAACTGCTTTTAATGCAGCACATGAATGTATCCAGTTCATTAACTCTCATCTAGTCACGTCCAGTATGTTCACGAAATAGTTACCAGTCAGTTAGCTTTGAAATCAATGTGGTCATTTGCACTTGCATTCTTGGGTGTTGCATGACAACTGGGTGATGGTCACTCCGTCGTGTTTCGAGGTCTGTACAACAGTTCATATCTCGTGCAATGTCAGGGAAGGCTACAGCCAAATCTAGACAGCTGGCATAATTATATCCTAGTTAAAACGTTACTGATCCATCATTAAGAACAACAAGACCACATTGATCAATTGCTTTCTCAAGTGTTCTTTCACGTGAATCAGTATGAGTGCAACTTCACGTGGTATTGCGCGAATTAAAACCTACACAGATGAGGGCAAGTACCTTGGCTTTAGCCTATAAATGAACCAGGGAGGATTTGGAGATGCGTGTCGATGGTTGCAAATAAACACAAATTACGGTGATGGTAAGTTTCTGGAATTGAATTTTGCACCCTACAAATTCTGGCACGTCCGAGTTTGACGAGTATAAAAGAAAAGAGTGTATGTCGCGCCGTACGATTAAAAGTGTCCTGCTTAAGCCTGCATTTCTTCTTGATGCGTATGTGACATAATTAGCAATCCTAAAATCAGGGCCAACATTGGTTTCATTTAGACACAGAATGGGGAAGCTATACTGAGCAACAAGATTCCTAAAGTCTGCGCCTTTGGACCTCAGGCCTTTGGAATTCCACTGAAACACAGCTGTGTTGCGGAAACAGTTGTTCATATGTAGAGCTATTT